AAAACCTTATTATTTTCTGTTTATTTCCAAGTATAGGAATCACTCGTACCGGGTCCGGTAGTATTACCTAATTTAGGTAACCACCATAAAGAGTTAGGAAATAAATATAAATTATGCCTCTTTCATTCTAGGATAACTACAGATTATAACATAAAAACATAAATGTTTAGGCTAAATAGCTTAAAATTCATAGCATTATACATTTACGTATATTTATTATTTTTATTATATTGACCTTTTAACCATGCCTGGCTAACAATACAGAAGTTATAATGATGTGGCACATGTGCACTGATGTTGCCGTATCCAATAATAAAAAACTGACTTTTAGTCTTTACAAAGTGACCTGTCTTGGCTGTGTTTTATTAGACTAGTATTTTGTAAAATACAGTAACATTTCAATTATTATACATTATATATGAATCAAAACTACTTTTTATTCATTTCTATCAAGACCTCTTTTCAAGACAACTTATTTTTTAAAAACATAGAACAGTAAATAAAGAAGTAAAGCAAATATCTCTTCAAGCTACGACCTTTGTACTCGGTTGCTAAGCCTCTTAAAGTTTTGCATGTGGAGGATATGAAAGGAAATAATTTCTTTTAGGTTTTATATATACAATTGAATAACCTAACAATCATAAATTACTATATCAATACCATAGAATTCCACTATAATTTATCAAGCTAAGTAACTGAGCTGTATTTCGGTATAAAAAATATGAAATTTCGAGCAGACTAAAGACACAACCTACCTCCTCAAAATCTTGGTTTGAAAGAACGAGATGGCATCCTAAAAATTTTTAAATGTTAGAAAGGCTGAGAAAACCACTAGGGGGACATTCTGAACTTTAGATTGGTTATTCATGTCATATATAAAAGTAAGTGTATATAAGGGAGTGTTTCCAAAAATGGAAAAATGTGGGTGGGGGAGCCAAAGTGTTTGATTCAGTACACGAGCGATATCTTAGCAAATAGAAAAGATAAGAGGATCTTATTTAATATTCTATTTTGCCAATATTGGTAATTTGAGTTCCTAATTCATAAAAACTATAGTCTTTGTATTTTGACACTACAAACATCTAATTTGAACCAGTGCTGCATTCAACATACCAAGTGACACACAAAACTCAATGTTTAACAGTGTTTTTTAATATTTAGTTTTAAATTAAGAAATTGAATGATGTATAATTACTAAAATTTGAATTATAATCTACAGTTTGATACCAAACTTATTGACATAAATTCATGAAATAGTTCAATAAAATATTTTGATTCATCAAACGCGATGACATGACTTTTGACCCATGACCCGTCTGGAAAGGGTTAACGGCCTGTAGGTCATTCCGTGTTACAGCTTACATTAAACAGTTGGATAGTATTTTTAGAAAACATTTTTATTCAGAAAAGGATACTGATATAGTTCCTGTTAATAAACTGAAACAAGAATTGCTGTAAAAAAACCAGTTTCAAATTCTGTCCTTGGAAAACATGAGATTTATACAAAAATACTGGGAAGCAACATAAGTTATCCACTTTGGATTGTTAATAAAGATTATGATAATAAACACAATTATTTTTTAATATAAATTCATTATGATCATTATCATGTTGCCTGTCATAATTTCAGGTTATTCCAATCAATGCTGTGTTTTATAGACAGGCTTGTTACAAAACTTGCTTATGTTGACAGGGATAAAGATGTCCCTGACTGATAAACATATAAGTTATGTTCTCTGAATGTTTTTGGAAGAAACGGCATGAAACTTTTAAGGTCAGGGCAATTCCCTAGGATCAGTCCAATCACTACAAAAAAAATTTTTTCTTTGCCTTGTGAAGGCTATATTGCAATTGTAGCCTATTTATGCATAATTGATCACAGAGTATGTGTTTGTGATATTCTATACGATGTAAAGTACAACATAGAAAAACAATTAATATATCACACTTTTGATTTTTTAACTTAAAAATGATTGATAATTGCACATTTAATGCTGTATTAATTTATTGAATTTTGTATTGAAAATAAATTGGCACATTTACATTTGTACTTTGTCACTTGGTTAAAAGGCTGACATGACTGAGTGGATAAAAAGAATATTGTTTTGCAAGTATTCACCATGTGATCAGAGTTGTAGGTTTGAGACTGGCCAGTGCCTGTTACGACTTTCACCAGAACTTAACTTCAGAAAGTAAAAGGTGTAGTATTACTAACATCATATTTATACAATGTAGAAAAAAATATATTTATACTTTATTTAATACTAAAGAATACAGTTATGCAAGTTACAAGTTATGGTATAACTCAATACAAAAACAATATTTTTAACCTGATTCAACATTAAAGAATACAGTTACAAAATTACAAGTTGTAAAAATTACACAGATTAAAAAAAAACAACTAAAATTTACACTGTTTAAAACAAAAGTAGTTCAAGTGTTGGCAGTGGATTCTGTAGCCGTTTGTCTTTCATTTATTTGGCTGTTTAAAATTAGGAACATTGGTGGATAACTTTTGTATCTTTGCTGTAACTAAAAATCAAAGAAACAAGTATGCTTTGACGCTGAAAGAACAAGCATGTTTGGTGGCAATAGGAATCATGCGAGATCCTTAGTTACTTGGTTGTTTAAAAATAATGATTACAGTATTTCAATTACTTAGATAGTTAAGTAATCAGAAATGATTAGCTGACTATTTTTCTGACATTAATCAATTAATCGCCAAGCTCAGCTAAAAATGGGTCTTAAAATGCTTTTTTTATGGTACTGTAGTAACTATTTAAACATATTCTAAACAAAGTTTCTGGGTAGAACTTTTTTGTTTCTTAGATAGTAATGTAAAGTAATTTGTGAAATTTATGTTTGATCTTATAACTTGAAGCTTACCCATTTTAATGCTGAAGCTACATATATTTTATTTCTTCCAAACAGGAGACATCCATGGACAGTACACTGATCTTTTACGTTTATTTGAATATGGAGGTTTCCCTCCAGAAGCCAACTACTTGTTTTTAGGTGATTATGTTGACAGAGGCAAGCAGTCTTTAGAAACCATCTGTCTTCTTTTAGCTTACAAAATCAAGTACCCAGAAAATTTTTTTCTTTTACGGGGGAACCATGAGTGTGCGAGTATTAACAGAATCTATGGATTTTATGATGAATGTAAGTGTTTAGAAGAGTCATTTCTTATTTATATTTGATTTCCTAGTAGTATTCCTAGATGAGTTAGTAAAATTAATTGTTCAACTTATGGTATGATTTCATAGATTATTTAATATAAAGTTCATATTATTAGTTTAAAAAATAACTAGGATACTGAAATTTTTACACATAGTATTTACTGAGATCTCATTAATGTAAATATTCTTAATGAGATTTACTTTGTGGGGAAATATAAAGTGTTTAAATTTAGTAAAAGTGTAAAATTTTTTTTTCATTTTCTTTTTAGCTTTGTTCATTTGCAATTAATTCAGAGGCTGTG